CTTTATATAATTATGTGAATTTCATTGAGTATGTTAATCATCATAATGATTAACCAAAGTTACTTCACAATAATCTCAACAATTATGAATGATCTCAAACAAGCCGATATTTTGATTATGTCTTATTATAATCATTTCCAATACACAATACCTATACATATAATACGAATGCTATAAAATCGAAACAGTTTATTCTATGACATTGTAAAACGCTTTAAATTAGGTCGTTTTAACTTATAATACAGAACATATTTATTATAAACCGTAAACATATTTAACACAGTGAATAATATTCGAATAAATTATTTCATTATTATTTTTAATTCATTTTATGTATTAAAAATCTCTATTACAATATACTATTATAGTATCATAGTATGTAGGTATATTATAATGTATTATACGTAAGTCGTACGTATTATGTTTTAACTGACTATACAAACAATATTTTTTTAAATCATATTTTATTTTTATTTTCGTACTGTAATAACTGTAATATGTTGTAAGTTAACAACGAATTAAATAAGTTGATATCGATACGAAAAACAGCTATTTGTTCGTTGATTACGACTTTCTTAATGAGCTGTAAAATAAAATCGATTAACCGGATGAACACACCATATTGATATAGATAAATCGACATATTTTTGCTGTAGTAATAGGGGCAAACCATGAGTAGTTTTTAGTATTGTATTTATACCTGGTAGGTATATATGTGTATAGTATAGTAATTTAAATATATAATATTAAATAAGTTTAACTATCAAACCAAATAATTCCCGAAATGCAAACGATTCTTTATAATTTGATTTGATCATCTGCAATAGCAATAAAAAAGAGTCTCTGAATAACAAAAATATAGTAAAATGGACAAACGACACGAATTGTGTCAGGATAATAATTGGTCATACGTTGATGACTAAATGAACACAACATGTTCGTCAAGCTGTCAACCGATAGCTACAATAGAACTGCTATGTTGAAAATTCAAGATCGAATTTGGCGCGCGAAATCGTAATACTCGGAACTGGTTTTAAAGTGAGGTTATATTATATATTTATGTATAATTAGCACATTTATACGCCACGCGTCAACAATGTTAGTAGAAAATTGTTCAAAGCGCTATTGCTTACTATGATTGACCATATTATCTAATCGGTATTGATTTTTTTGGTTTTACTATAGTTATTACTTATTAGTCATTAAAATTTAAGGCAATAATTCACTTGATAATAGTAATCGAATGATTCTATTAATATAACATTTATTTTTTATTAAATAGTATTTTCTTCATCTTTAGATAGCAGTGGATTGTGGACTGTATTGTCTATTGTTCTGACTATATATTATTCTTTTGTTGTCTAGTAGATAGTATTTATTCAACGACTACGGATAGACATCGTCTTTTTTTAACCAACAAAGATTTAAATTGTAGTAAATAGTTGGTTTGTTAGATAATAATAATATAAAAAAAAAATTATAGTTAAATATGTCATTCAAATATATTAGTTTACGTCCTAAACTCCTTACAGAGTAATTACAATAAAACAGAGATAAAAGAATATTGAAATAATTAAAATAAATTTATAGTCATGTTTTGTAACTAATGACTTCGAATATTAGAACTACGTGCCGTAAATGACCATCGCACCGGATGTGGGTATTACATATGTTTGATTTTTTTTATATGTACATATTTGTTAGTGTTCTCGAGAGATCACGTAAGCTAACTTTTATAATGATCTATCAAAAGTCCAGTTGAATAATTAATTCATTAATCTGACAAAGTCATATTTTTGTAGTTCCAAATCAACTTAGCGGAATCACTTTTGGCGATGGGATCTCCTAATTGATAATTTCTTTTTTTTTAATAATACAAATATTAATATTATTATTATTTATTAACAATATAGTCATAAATACTACAATCTGTAATTTTTGTAAATCATAATTTATAATTTTTATTATTAATGTACATATTTTCAAAATGGAAAACTTCACCATTACTTCAATTAAGGTAATATGTGTAATATATGTAATACTAGGTAATATGTGTAAATTTACTTATTTGCAGTTTTATTAAAATTTCAAAATAAATACATATACCTAATATAAACTCTTCAAAGGTTAATTATTTGAGATGTATAGATTCCATGTTCAAACACATTTCACATAGTTGTATAGCATTATTTAATAAAATTATAAAATTATTTCACATAATAATATGAAAATCAGTATAAGGTTTTCTTGTAGTTCGAGTTTATTGTCAACGATAACTATAATACTTTGTGGTATGAACACAATAAAAATATAATCTGGTTGTTAAACAATTACGTTCGTACGCAACATCAAACAATTATAATTTATAAAATAAATGTTGACATTATATAGTCCCAAAAATCTGTTTTTTTCTCACGGCGACGCGATCATGTTTTTATTATAAAATAATATTTATAATACTGTAATGGAACATTACAGTTTATTGTTATTAATTATTTTTTTAAAAAGGGGCCGTTATTTCGATCTTTTACACAAAATGTACAAAATAAAAATGTTTCATATAGTATTTTTGAATTCACATAAAAAATAAAACGTTCTTATATACAGTTGAAGTGTTATATATTACTTTAAGTCGTTGGTTCAATTGCTTCACTGCATTGGATAAATTAAGAACAATGAATCTTAAGTAAAACACAAGGCGTATGGGTACTAGCCATTTGGTACTAAATTTGTTATGGCAATAAAGACGTTTTGATGAACATTTATGAGAGAAATGTTTTTTAAGAATACTGTTACGCCATACATATTATGTATAATTCACTGCCACCATAATAATTATAATATCATCTTGATATGCTACACCAAAGTGCCTGCTGCAAGAGAGCATATAATATACTATTTCGTCTGTACGAACTCTGTATAGCAATCTCTAAATATAATGCGTACAAGGTGTGTCGAGAGGGGTTGTCGAAACCTCGTAAATAAGTTCGACGCAGGAACGCAGTGTGGCTATAATATTATTCTTTGGTGCGTGAACACCCGTCTAGTGGGTAGTCGAGGAGTAGAGGTGTGTACCCATAAAATGACTGTCACCATGGCCCTTTTTATAATATATACATAAATGAACAAAAACATTATACAGGCGGTGGTAAAACATCTCGGAGGGACATAGGCTGTCTTGACGACAAAATATAATAATCTATATATCTATGTATCTTATCTTCTTTCCCCTGTATACCTATGAGTAACTGAGTAACAGAAAAGCGCTCTCTATATTTTGCCTTTTTCTATAAACTCACTAATATCCTAGTGGTTTAAGGTCTAAGTCTAAATCTCATGAACCACAGCTGATTGAACCCGACGCAATGAATATTAATTTGTATTTGAGACGGGACAAATAACGAATACCGTCTACACCTGGCCATTTGACCGTCACTAATCCCCATTTATAACGGTGCGCATACCTATATTCAGAATTGTATCGTACCGAGACTATTTCGGTCACACACTCCTTATAGTATTTAATGTCGATTGTTGACAATAAAACTGTGATAATACGCATCGGATAATTAAAAGGAAACTGCTAATTCATTGAAGAAAATTGAACAATTTTACTAACTAATTAATAATTTCAATAATCAACTTATAGAAATGTATAGTAAAACTGTGGTTGCTTACAAATTACGATATAATCTAGTACTATCATAGATTTATAATGAGATAAATTTAAAAGCAAATGTGACAACTTTCCCCCTCCAAAAAGAATTAGTAAATAATCTTATTTACGAGTTTTTTACGATGATTAAGTTTTTATGTGAATTATGAGCGTTTTAATTTACCCAATATTATATACGCATAACTTGCTAAAAAATTGAGCCATCGTGAAAAATCCACACTTAAATACAGATAATGTTCTTCCATCAAGTTTCACAAAAGATAAATTCACTCTAATTTTGAAACTAACTGAGCTAAACGTGATCTGTTGAGCGTAAATTTGCTATGTTACGCACTTGTAAAAAGGAGAGATCAAAAGGTAATGTAGCGTCCTCTTAAGGCTTAAGTTAATTTCGCAACTTATTAAAAGTGAAAGATTATTATTTTCAATGCATAAATGTTTAGTTTTTTTTATTTAAAATCGGTTGGTCTTACATGATTTGGTATCGGTAAAGCATAGGTACTAAAATTTTATTTTTATAGGTCGAAAAAATGAAATTTACAGCGACATTTCTATAAACCCGGCCCTAAAATTGACCACCCGTGGAATTAACATGGACCTATTTCGCAATTTCGGTGTGTAGTACTCGGAAAAGTTTTCGCGCATTGGGACCCACCCAACCCACCGGGGCCATCACGAACCATATATCTTATCTAAGATATATTATATACATAGCAACACAGGAGACCAAAACCCGTGATGTATAAACAATAATAATTCATCGGCCGATATCGCGACGTGTATTAACGATAGGAATAAAATGTCTGCAGTGCAAGTTACACAGCTGCAATAGTCCCCCAATCATGGGTGGCCAGGGGAGCAGTTGCAGCTGCCTGCGCATCTATACTCTGTTAAGTGCGGGCCGGAGCACACGGGTTCTTTCCGTCGCGTCCCCTACTCCCTGCACACCGCGCTCCCTAAACATTATTCCGCAGCACACAGGCACAACAACAACAAGAACAACAACAACAATAATAATAATAATAATAATAATAATAATAATAATCTTACTTGGCCCGTTTCAAGGTTATTGGCCACAGCGGCGATGAGTCACGGATGCCACGTGTCGTTTTCCAACATCCCTTCCCCCCGCCACGAACGAACTGTGCTTACGGCCGCCGCCGCCGCCGCCGACGCAACCGACGCAACCGACGCAACCGACAAGGAGTGAGGACAAACGGCCGCCCGCGACCCGCTTCGCTCGAACGATAGGCGCAGCGTTCGGCGTTCGGCGGCGGCGGTGACGGCGGCGGCATACACACAGCGGACGACGACGACGACACACGCGGCTCGCCCGCCATCATTCGTTCCACCGCGCCATCGACATCCGCACGTCCCAACGCGCCGTTCCATCAGTACCGCTGCACACTCGACCGAGTGTATCGTCTTGTCCGTCTCACGTGCGTCGAGTCCGCGATTCTTAGCCATGAACAAGTTGCCGCCACCGCCGCGGTACCCTTCGCACTTGCTCTACAACAGCACACGCCGCCGCTCCGTAACATACCGCTACTGTCCGAGTGCAGGTAAGTGTACCGTAGTTGACGTTTCGCCGCGTTATTGCCTGCGTCCTCGATCCAGGCGTCTCTTGGCGCGAACCGGTGCCTGGCCCCCCTGTTCTCCTACATTCCCGCGCTGCCGCTTTCCGGATTTTCCCGCCCAACACAGCCGTAGAGTGCCGAACACGATCGTTCTGTTTGAAAAATCCTGAATAATAGTACTTAGATATGCATAGGTGTTCTGCTTTATATAATAATAAACAATAACTATTTCTCGTTGGTCATTATCGACGTTGACCCCGTGCCTCGATTGATACGAATTTGTTGTACATATTATTATTATTATTATTATTATTGTATAATTGCTTTCAATGCTCGCGTGAACTATCCATTACATATTATTATAATTGTGATACCAACTATTTATCTTACTTATTGCCTTACAAGCATTTAAACACTGCCTAATATACTAATTATGTAAGCCGATTTGGTTTTCTGAATACCTTATCACATTTTTTCAAACAATTTATTTTAATGAAAAAATCGTAAAACATATTTGTTCATAAGCTGAAATATTAAATGTCACTTAATAAAATGACACTTTATTATTTTAAGTATATTCATGTACAACACACGCATGATTTTAAGTGCGTGAGTATTATTACCTAGTATTGCATACCTTCAACAGATATTACGTGGAAATGTTTGAATCATACTATGAAAGAAATCTCGAGGGGAAATAACAAAAAATATTTAAAACATGAATAACATTGAAATTGATGAAATTAACAATGTTTATTTATAATTTTCTTAAATTTCGTCTATTCAAAAAATCAATGGAAGTTTTTTTTAAAGTGAAATACTATTTCACTTTAATTTCAATTTATGTTAGGTACTTATTTACTGACTATTATAAAAGCATGTGAAGATCATCAAAACATTTTATATGGTATTTATAAGTAGTTTATTATAGGTAGTATTCATATACTAATCACGATTAAAGTCGCACATGCGCTTTTCTGTCACAAATTCTATATTAAGATTTCGACTTTGAATGGTGTGGGTGTGTTATTATATCTATTAAAATAATTATTTGACCAGGTCGTATTTTTTAAATATATACTAAATGGGGTCTTTCTCATAAAATCATTTAACTTTACTTGTCATTTAACTAGACGTGACAGAGATAACAGCTCGCTTCAGCAATTGGCTAAAAATATAAAACTTAGATCATTATAATTATACACATATCTTCAACGACGTATTTTTGTATGATGTAGACTCTACATAGTAGAGTAAAGAATATATATTAGTATTTTTAATTGAAACATCAAAGATTATAAATTTAGTGTAAAAGCAGTCTTCTATGTGGATGCTCATCGCGACAGTCTAAAATATTGTATGAAACACTTCGAAGATAATTATATTTAACATGAAATGTAATATACCAATTATTGTGCTATAGCTTGATGTAACTATTTATTGTTAAACTCATATTTCTTATTATAAAAATGATACTGATGAGATTTGAGAGCTGTGTTTGTTGGTCTTTGTATACCACTATATTTCCACAAGGAATATAATACTTGATTTACATTTTATACTTGTAACTTACCGATTAATTCACAAGAATTCTGAAGTAAGTTCGCAAACAAATTTCATATGACAGTTTTAGAATTCTAATATTTCTTGTTTACTTTGGTGTGACTCATAGGGATAAAACTTCAAAGAATGGAAATGTTGTTCTTAAATAGATTTATCGAAAAATTCAAATCTGTTTTCAAAATGTTTATCGTATCATATGATGAATAAGGTACCTCAGTACCTGTACAGGCCGGTAGCCAGAATAAATCTTTAGGTTGGGTGAACTAAATTTTAGGGGAGGGGGTCAAAAAATGTATACTTAAACATAACACACCTTTATACGCATACATTTTATATTTGGGAGGGGGGGCAATGGCCACCGTGGCCATGTTCCTGTACCTAAGTTGAAAATAGAACACGTTAATCATCACGCACATCATAGAGTCAAAAACTACAACTTCCAATCAACTAAATCGTTAAAGAGATATAGACACTTAATAGAAATGCTAATCAGATGTTAATCTCCGAAAACTTCCTGCTGCGTTCCATCACAAGTGATTATGTCTTAATTGCACGGCGATTAACTCAAATTCTCAACATTCTTTGCAAATTCCTTAAAAATTGTTTTCGTGTATAAAATATATGCATCTATTTCTGATTTCGAATATAGGTATGGGTCCATGTATAATAAATATGTACAACATAAACAATTATAACGATTATAATATATTTGTTTCTTTTTTCCATATTATTATAGAAACTACACTTTATACGCATGCTGTTAATTTACTGATATTTCACATTTCTTTTATGATTTACACTAAATGAGTTTTCTAACTATAAACCATAATAATGTTAACACAATAGACACAACTTAAGAGAGGGTCTATAGTTTAAATCTTTATCCTTGTTTGTTGATGAGTACCACAAAGTACAAAATTGTCACCGAGTAATTATTTATTGTTAGTATTTCGAGTATAATTTTGAAAATGACTAAAAGACCATTATATTTTAATATTCAATACCTATCGTTTTCGATATTCGATGTAAGAATTAAATACATTTAGCAGGACATTATGTTATAGGATATTATGTGTTGGCAACAGATTATAGATTTTGTAAAATATAGATGTGAAATTAAACTGTTAATTGTTTTAATAAATATAATATACTGTATTACAGGAGCAAAAAAGGGAATAAGTGTATTGACGGCTATACCGGAGTACACTGTCACCAAGTTGAGGTAACATTTACGATTTTTTATTTATGACATAAACTTTAAAAAAAAACTTAAAAATATGATTATTTAGCCCATATATAGGTACATAACAATTAATAGAAAGTCGCATCCGTATTTGAGGTCTTCGTCTTACACACGTATGGTATAGACAATTTTGCCAATTTCAGTAACGTGCTGTTGGTTTTGATATTAGAGTAAATTGACATTGACCCATTACCAAACTTCAAGTTAAAAACAGTATCTGTTTAACTTTTTGTACGATATTTTAGTTTTTTAGTGAGTTATAAGCATGTACAGTATTACTATTTGAAAATGATCATAACTCACATAAAAACTAAAATATCATAAAAACCCAAAGAGAGATCACAGACTATGTTCTTACTTAAAAGACGAAAGTTTGATAATAGGTTAATTCACTCTAATATCAAAACTAACATCAGACTATTGAAACTAGTGAACGAAAATTTGATATGTCGTATATGTGTAAGACGGATACAACACATGAGGGTACGAAGTCTTCTTGACAATATTTATTTATTAAGTTGAGTCTGCAACTTCTTAATTATTATGTATTTGAAACAAATATAATACCTATTATAAGGTGGATACACATTTTGAAAAGTTATGTAGGTATCTGTAATATAATTATCATCCAAATCTAACCTAAGGTACCTATATATTATATAATATACAAATATGTATTATTAAGGTGGTAATAGTTTCAACAATATTAAAAATATACAGATACAATATCGTTTTGTATAAATTAAATTAAATATAAACATTTAAAAAAAAAATTTATATCGAAATTACATGTTTAAAATTCACTTAAGAAATAAGAATTTAGAAAAGTACACATTTTGAAACCATTTCTAGTGATTAATATTGAACGGTGTGTACGAAGTCCGAATCAGTGGCGTATGCCGTACACTTATATTTTTAATGGGAGGCATTACATTTAAAAATTATGTATACATGTAAATATTTTTAAATGATTATTTAAAGTATTAATTATATATTAATTAAATAGTATCTTGAATAAATATTTTTATATATCTATAAATATAGTAAAAATAATAGCAAGGGGGTGACCCCTGGTTAAACTCCTCCCCAAACCATGTGTACGCCACTGTTACGAATATAATAATCACTTAATTATTTCTTATTAGTATAATAAAATACCTTTGTAAATACTTATACTTATACTTTTTGTTAAGACTACTGGCATTAATAGAAAATATAGGTACACTATATTTTTTATCATATTAATTATTTGCTTATTTTAGTGAAGAGTATCAGACAACTTCCTGGAAAATATTAGAAAACTCTATTTCTAATTTAGTTAAGCAAGTGAATTCAGAATCCAAAGCCAGAGAAATTAAAAAAAAGATTGTACGTTTAAATATTGTGCGTGGTAGAGGTATACTTTGCAAAAGTGTTATGGAAGCTCAATTAGCTTCAACCACTAATACTCACATCTATGCTTTGTTTATTGCCCTTATCTACGATGAGGTAGGTAGGTTTATTTTGTTCGGTAAAACAAGGTTTTTAATATGTTTATTTTGGCACTTTTAGATTTCAACAATAGGAGAGTTAATCTTGGTACGTTGTCTTAAGCAATTTAGGAATGCAAGTAAGACCAAAGAAAAATGTGTATATTTGGCATCAGTTCTATTTATTTCGTACTTAATTATTTACGATGTAGTGAGTTTCAAATCATTCAGTTATAATATTTTGTAAATATTCACTCTTACATAATATATTAATCAATACAGGTTTCACCACTTGTGGTAGTTAAACTATTAAAGATTTTCATCAAGATACCCTCCCAGGATTCAGTTGACGCAACTTTTGTGCTCCTAAATACATGTGGATATAAATTGAATGAGCAAAATAAAAAGGACCTCAATAAGATTGTACATAATGTGCATAATAAATCGGTATACAATATGAGATTTGCCAAAAAGGTAAATGGTATTATGATAGTTGTTTATTTATATTGTTCAATTTTGGATATTCCTAACCTAACGTAGCCGGCCAGCTATCTTATTCGGTCGCCGTCTCTAGTTCCCGGATGGGTGACCACCGAATTTTTTAGTGACATTGATATTCACCCCGCATACACGTGTTCTGAACCAACTATAATATCCCTACAGTAAAAAAAACAGACTAATAAAGTAATAACAATCACCCAATGGCTTATGTTGGCACTGGTTAAATTTAAAAAAAGATGTTATATTTTGTTACTTAATATTAAATTTCGAATTTCCATGAATCTAATTTTCGAAATATTTTATTCATGGTTAGCTATAATTGAATTTGCATTATTAATCTTGATATAATAGTATTTTAATATTGATATAATATATCACTGTATAGTATAATATTACGCATATAATATAATAGCCGTTATAATGTCAACTTGAACAGCTCCGATTTAAGATATTTTTATTATAACTTGTGAATTTAAATAATAAGTAAATGTATACAACATAAATTATAACTTTTTTATTAAAAAATAATTAGTTTATATACGGCTGAAAAGTATCACTTAAAATTCTAATATATATTAATAATATATATGTTACGGGCAAAGTGGAAAATTCGGACAATGTATACAATGCCCGGGCATTGTATACAGTGACCGGGCATTGTATACAATGTCCGAGTTATATTTTGCAATGTAAATTGTGAAGTATTTAGACAAATAATCTGCATAATATATTTTGTTAGATGATCCTGATAAACAAATATAAACTTATAATCACCATCTGATTGTGCTTACATATCGATCAAGTCAATTTGACAGCGAGAATTCATTTCAGAAGATATGATTGGTTTTACAACCAACCTTTTTTAGCTGTACTTCCCTTATTTTTACACGATTCGCAATTATTTAAGTATAACATTGTTACATCTCTAGTTATATTTTTGTACTTTTTATTAATCTCGTGTTCCATTATATTTCTAACTCCATGTCCAATTGACAAATGAACTTCATGTATAATATCATATAACTGAACATTATGCACATAATATTTTATTTCATTACCTTTAAATACATTTAAAATTTAATTAATTAAAAAAAAAATTGTATTACTCTTATATAAATAACCATATAAACGAGTATAATTAAATTATTATATAATATCATTGATTAGGTATAATAATATTATGCAGATTATTTGTCTAAATACTTCACAATTTACATTGCCCAATATAACTCGGACATTGTATACAATGCCCGGTCACTGTATACAATGCCCGGGCATTGTATACATTGTCCGAATTTTCCACTTTGCCCGTAACATATATATAGTTAATTATGTCAATCTATTCTTAAGTATCATTTAGTGCAATCAATTCTCTGTCCTAGTTATGTGTGTTATGCTTATGACTTATAACTAGTAACAACATTTTATACTAATAATGTATTGTATTTTAGATTCGCCGTATGATACAAATAATAATGAGAACTATTTCACTTAAAAGTCCATCAAAAGTGAAGGGTCCTGTCATATCCAGACCCCCTTTGACTATATTTTCGGCAAAAAAAATCAATCCAAATTATAGTTTGGGTATGAGTTGGATACCTACCTTGTTCTTAAGTTTTTATACTTAAAATTAAAAATTTGTCTTACAGATTCTTACAGTTACGATCCAGATTATGAAGCTAATGAAGAGATTTATTCATTATTTCGTGATCAAATATTGGAAAATGATATTAAAGATGAATACATAATAATGTACGATCATAATACCTATGATGCAGAAAGTAGTAAGTATTTATTAATAACAATTAGTAACCCCACATCTTCAACTACTACCTATAATTTTTTTACTACTGCAATGTGATCGGAGGAAATTTGTTCCGATACTAGTTGTCCAGAGAAGGTTTTCTATTCCTTATGGATAAGTTTTCCGTAACGGGGGTTAGAGCATTGTGCATGAGGTTTTTTATCAATAATAAGACTCGTTTAGCTTATAAATCAAAAATAATTATTTTAATTAAAATAGTACAACTGTCTTAAAAAATGGCTGTTAATGAACAGTGTATCAGTGTTTATGGTTACCGACAAACGAACTGCCGTGTGTCATTTGAATAATAAGTAATAATTTGGACAGGTTGAGTGTGTGTATTTTGAATTGGTAAATCGTATAGTGTATGTTTAGTTATAATAGTAAATACGTCTATAATGTTACTATTTGTTACCACTAAAATATTACACTAAATTCACTGAATGCACTAAATTTCTCATATATTGACCCGAGATAAATTAAAATTACTATTTTATAGAGTCACTACAACAGACATTGGTGGTTAAGCACACAGGAAGTCGAAAAGCTATCAGAAAATCGAAAAGCTTAAAAGATGTATTAGAAATCTTAATGGAATCATCATCTTTTAAGTATGAAAATTGTGCTTCACAATTAATGAAAATAAAATTGAATCCTGGCCAAGAAAAGGAAATTTGCTACATATTTTTGGAGCTTTGCTGTGAGAATGATGTGTATACTGAGAATCTTGGACACATGACACAAGTAAGATTCAGTATCCATTTATATCGATTATTTTACCTACTCTATCCATGCCCACATACTAAGAAATAACAGTGTTTTTTATGATTGATTGCTTCGTGTTCAAATAATAATCTAGTTTAAAATTAATGTAACATTATCGGTTTGAATTATTAAAAATTAATCAGCACAACCCACAGTATTAATTTCAAAGATTTCATCATTCTGAATATAAAAATTATTTAAAATCATTTTTGTAAAATATTTAATTAATTTCATAATCGATTGTAAATAATTGTTTTATTTGAACAATTTAATTATAGCACACAAAGAAATAAGAGTAAAATGAAATTATACAGATACATTTGTTGAAAAGAATTGTTGACCTTTCACGTATCAACTATGTTTAATTGTGTAAGTGTAATGTTTTCCTTTTAGATATTTTGTCAGATGAACAGATTGCTAATTGGACCATTGCAGAAAATGTTTATTGACACATATGCTATTGTCAATAGTTACGACAGAGTAACATTACAGAACGTTGCGAAATATTTTGCTCAATTACTATATACTGATACAATTTCTTGGATGGTTTTGTCAACAATACGCCTGGATAAAATTCAAACAACAAGATCTACTGGAAATTTTGTCAAGCATTTGTTTCATGAGTTAGTCAAACATATGGGAGAAGAAAATTTGAATTGTTACATTAAGGATCCGTAAGTAAAATTATTTAACTTATTATAATCGTTATGTTTTCAGACTATATGGGGGTGGTTCACTGAGTGTAGTAAATTACATTTTATTCTTTAGTATAGAATTATTAAAACTCTGAATTTTAGAAATCGAAAGAATACTTGAAAACGGTATTTTTGAATACTTGGATATTTTATTCCATTTAAGGAGATCCTCCTTAGAGTGAATTTTTAAACGGTTACTATATTTTAAAATGTTGATGGGACTAAATCGAATTAATAGTTTTTGAAATATTTAACTTTATGTACTAAAAATAATAATACCTTATAATGTTTATTCATCAAACAAAATAAAGTAGATCTAGTAGATTTTTGATCTTTTTTTTTTACCCCTGTTTGAACCGACGGCGCCGCGAGTTGCTTTCGCATTACTGCCGCGACGCCGCCATAAAAGATTTTTGATCTACCTGGCACTTAATAAACTCGGAAAATATGTGAATTATAAAAATTACTTTAATATTGTTTAATCATCAAAGCCTCCATTCTTTTTAAACGTATTATCATAGTATATAATATTATCATATCAATTCAAAAACCACTTATTTGAGTTTTGACTTTTATACATGAAAATTAAAAAAAATTATCTGATAAATAATTTATATTAAAAAAAATGGTTGTAATTAAAAAAAGAGAAGAATTTAAGAACACAAGAAATTCCATAAATAGCATAAAAAATCGAAATTCTTTAAAATGTGGTGAATAATTAACTATTTAAAAATGTAAGGGGAAGTAATGCCAACTTGAGGGAGGGCAGTTTCATAATGGTCTCACCTCATGTGGGGGTCCGAAGTATATGAAAAACTGCTTGAAAATTTAAAAATCAGAATTTAAATAAGCTATTTAAAAAAATGGAAAGTAGGATACTTGGTAGACAACATTGTATATGTTAAACGAAATTTAAAAATAATAATTACAAAATTGGTGTTACAGATCATTGAAAGATGCATTTGAAGGAATTTTTTTCGGTAATAATAAGAACCATTCCAATTTTTCTGTCGATTTGTTTTCATCTATTGGTTTGGATGGCTTAATGTAAGTTTATTAAGTTTGAAGTCTATGAAATAATTTTAATAATCTAATAATTTATCATTTAATTTATAGTACTACATTCCAAAACTCATTAATTTTTTAATTAATATTTTTCCGCGGCTGAAATTGTTAACATTGGGAAATTACTAATAATTACATGTTGGCTGGAACAATTACCTACAGCGATTCAACTTCATATAATCACTTGTTAAACATATAATTGGAGTTATAATATCCAATATTTTAGTTTTATGATACAACTCATTTTTATAGTACAAAATATAATTATTTAATTTAAGAGTTATAAATTTAGTGTATTTTCTAAGATATTAAGCTACAGTTAAAAATAATAACTCTTTAATTTTCCGGTTTTTGTTAATAATCAATTTATGCATATGCAACAACTTAGTAATTGTTACTAGGAAAATAAGATAGTTAATACTATAAAACATTTGTGTTTTTTTTTGAAAATTTATTAATTTTTATGGACTTCGGTATAAAAGCTTTAATTAGTAATAAGCAAATTTTTGTTCAACATCTACGATGGTGACTTCTACATGTTAAACAATCCATTGATCTTAAAATGGTTGTACGGAGGCGATGGGTGTGAAAACATGAACTAGGACTTGAACATTAATTATTAACTATATATCAGCAAAATTCGTATTAAGCATGATATTGACAATTTTTATTATTATTAATTATTATACCTAGTCTTTAGGTTTAATTGGTTATTGTAATAATCAAGTAAATTATTCATTATTTATACACAGTTTATTCAATTGTAAGAAATTATTTTTCAACAACTATAGATTTTTTTTTAAATTTTTTTTTGTAAAATTTAACAATGATTATTGTTAAATAAAAATTACGTAGATTACACTTTTATTACGAAATATAATTTAAAGAAAAAATTCAAAATGTAAAACTATTTAGTACCTACCTATTTAAATATTATAATAAATAAATACATTTTTCAACTTTTAACATTTTGATGACAGCTGAAGTTATTTAACTAATTGAGGTCACTCATTTTCTTCTAGCCCGGTGTTCTATAATTTGGATGATCTGGTAATGTAAGCACGTAAAACAATCATACACTAATCTATTACAATATAAATACAATGTTTATATCGTTTTAAGTTTAAATGTATGGATTGCCATTTGGTAGTAGCCTAAAGATAATTTTTCATTAATTACTACAAGCTGAGTTTTTTAAGGGTAGGTACGTGTCTGGTAATGGCCAATGAGGATAACAATTTAAAATGTACTAATGTTTTAGTATTTATTAACCTAGAAAAATATGACAACAAATACCAGTATATGGTTTTTTTGTTGTGGTTGGATGTTATTAGACTTGCCTCTGAAAAATTCCAAAATCCACCAATCCATTATTGTCGATTTATGATTATTGTATAATGTGTCAATGTACAAGTATTGTTCAGTATTGTGCAAATCTTTGTTGTCTTTGAAATGTGTAAAAATAAACTCGTCTGTTTCCAACCGGTCAGAATTTATTATATATAAATAAACCACTAAATGAATCTTTTATTCAATAATTTTAAATTGCCATTGACAAACGACACATTCTATTATTATTGTGTAATATTCTATAGATGACCTACACTATCAGTAGCACTGTAGAAAATCAGGTGTATCTCGTGGTCCCGCGATCGATATGGACTGTTCGTCTGTACCACCAAGTGGTTAGGCGGGGATAAGGTCGAATTGCACTAGGGCTCCAAAAAAGTTCAAGTTACACTCGTTCAGATCATTTCATTAAACACATTTATTAACAAATATCAGTCCAACAGTCAGAAGAATAATTTGTATTTTTAATATCGAAAATGTGTTATACATTGCAACAATTTAAAAATATGTTAATTTTGCAAAATTAATTAACAATATGTTATAAAAATGAGTAAATTTTCTCAACATTAATAAAAAGCTGCAATTTAAATATTACTTAATCACCTTAAAAAAATAATAACACTAAAATAAAAGTATGTATTACTTACGTTTGTTTATAAACGTTGTGGAATGATGTCGTTATAAATACTAAATCACACATACAAATAATATGCAAATAATTGTCATCTAAAATTAATATTTATTAGTTCTATACATAATGATCGTGTCTATAGCGCAATATTAGAACATTACCTTTTTGAACCAGTGCACAATTCGAAAATGTTGATTATTACCGTCAAGCACATAATATAATATAATAAGTGGGTAATCCGTTTCGAATTTTCACGGTAACCGTATTCCGTACGAATGTAAGATAGAATACAACGAAGAAATTGAAGCTCTTTTTTGTGAACTATACCAACACCCCAAAGGTAATTAATAGATCGTATTTATAATGGGTACCGTAGACAGGTATAATTTATGAACCATTATTAGGCGTGGTTTCAGTACTTTACTTTTATCGAGTTCACGTCGACGATCGATGTCGTTTCCGTCTATATATTTATAAAGACGATTGTGAATTACACCCAAACGCCTTACATGTGATAAAGGTCCCATATCGCAGGGGTTACCAAATAGCGGCCAGCAAAAAACTTTATGTGCCCCGCGGACCAGAATTCTATTTAATTACTTTTTTGACAATGTTTGAGGTTTTCATTAATTTTCATTTTATTTTGCCTTTACTTCCTTGAGATGCTCATTATATTTTGATGGCCACCGAAAATTTCTTAATTGGCTAATTATAACTCTACATAAATATCAATTGGTGATCCTTGCCATATCGCTTCTAATTTCACTTCGCATACTCTATACTTGTATCAAAAATTGTAATCATTGGATGCATTGTATCAGAATAAAAAAAATGCAAAAAGTTATAAATATATAGATACTTAATTTTCGTACCAGTTTACATTATTTAAACCTATAGTTTTATTCCCTATATCCATATATATTGATTCGTCAGTCAAAAGAATGCCAAAAATATCATTGATTAAATTTAACAAACATAATAATAGTAATTTGTACTTCTTTTTATTATAATTCCAAAAACGTGCATAAAAATAATAAATACTTAAGTTGTTACCATTAATCATAAAAAAAATGTAGGTACCTACACAAAAACTCTTGTTTGTAAGTTCATACATAATTGGTTTATCCAGTTATGTAATTTGATAAAAAAAAAAACTAGGGAGAAAAATAGTTTATACAATAAAATCGAAACTACAACCTTATAGTTTATACTTACACAAGTCTTAAAACTCATTTTATGGTTGAGAATCAAAACATCGTTAAATAACGTTAAGTACGTACAAGTTCATAAAAAAGGGCTATAACTATTTTGGAAAGACTAATGTGATGATAATTCGGTAATCATAATTCTTGAAATAAATTTATCGGCTTATTTTTATAACAAATGCGTCAATATAATATTATATAACTGGAAAAACGTAATAAAATAAGTACTTACATGAATAATTTGAAGACAATTTTATTTTTATTTTATACATCTAAATTAAATGTAAGTATTGTATTATTTCTTTATTTTTAAATATTTTTAAATTTCTACAACTGTTGGCATATCGAAGATAGGGCAAATAATAGGTCAATATTGGGCACATACCTTTTCTCCTCGCCACATTTATGCCACATGTATCACATAAAGTACCTAATAAATAGATGTACAAATTAATTTTTTTTTATCATAGGTAATTCTTAATTATAATTAATTGTTTTAGGTGTTATACCGGCTGAAATTTATTTTCAGAAATAATTTAAATAAATACTACATAAGGCTGAACATTTTTTTTTATCTTCACAATTCTATTTGTTTCTTTAAAAAATATTTTCTTAAATGTAACAACAATATTATATGAGCAATGCACAAAAATAATTGTGCTCATATAGATTTTATATTTCTGCAGAGTGTAATCCATATAACATAACGATTAGGTATAATATTATGTTTCGGTTTTTGAGACACAATCGATGTCAATCATTTTTGTTACATTATATGCTACACCTATTCGATTTGCATCCAACCAGCGGCGACCAAATTTCAAATTGAATTCAGTATTGCTAGGTACCTACCTGCATAATTTTCGCTTTTTAAAGACTCAATAGTAGTATGCTGCAGCCAACAGCATGCCATTCACCCATGAGCTGAATTAATTCTCGTTTCATTTTAAGCTATAATGCTATATTATTCACTGCGATATTAAATATATTGTACACCAAGGAAAAATGAATCAATAATACCTGCACAACTGTATGAGTCCACGAGAAACCAATAACTAATACGTTAAAGAGAGACTTACAATATTAGCCTATTTTAAGAAAATCTGCTTCAAGGTTAAAATGATAGATTTTTTAAGTTTTAAATTATTTGATTGTACTTTTCTCAATATATGTTACTATAGTTTACTCGAATTCCAAAGCCTGTAAACATTTAACTGAAATATCAGTACTTGACAATCTTACGCGGCAATCAACTTGACTTCAGCGAGATGCGTTTTTAACTTTTGAATACTGAATGTCAAAACGGATACCAATTCGGCCTCAAACGAGACTAGTTCTTCAATTTCATTGGGAACACAACTGAGCAATTTTTCATTTGAAAAGTGCTAAACGATTGCTCACCAATGTTAGAAATCTTTAACAGGCCAAACAAATAATTTACAACTTTTCTAATCACCAGAAGTAGCTTAGGTCTATACAACTTACGTGATTATACCTTATTTATAACTAACTATACAAAGTACTACCTACGTATAGTAATATATTATGTATGTGTTGTACAGGTAGGTAAGTTTCATTAATCAGTATAATTTGGTTTAAATATAATTTTTTTTGAAAATAAATATGTAGGCACAACAAAATATAGAACCTTTTAAATATATTACATTACTAATTGTTGTTGAATCGTATAGTACTATGCAATAGTAGTAGTATAATACCAACCTTGCTACATAGTTTAGAGCTCCAGAAGTTTGAAAAATATTTAAAAAATTGTAAACTTAAAAAAAAAATGTTGTATGGTGAGCGGAGCGATGAATATTGTATTGAATTTACAATAAGTGTTTTTTTATGTGTGTCCATCAATGCACGATAAATAGCAGAAAAAAAGCACGGTCTTCAACTTTGAGAATGGCTTCCAGATACTGAATTTAGATGGAGCTTTAAAGAGCTCAAAATTGAAAATACTTTTCAAAATAATTGGGAAAAACCCAATCAATTTTTTTACTTCCTTATTATAATTAAAAATGTATGAAAAAAAATTAAAAAATACAAAAATTAATAACATCTGTTTGATAATATGCTGACAGAACGTCTCCACTCAAAATTGTTGTTTATATGTAGTGTTTTATTGTTAAATTCAAATTTAACACTTCCATTAAAGTGATTTACTCAATGACTAGTTACACTCGACTCCAATTGCAAATCAAAGCAAATCTACTTTCCTCATTTTTTTTCAATTCTGATATTTCTGAGTACTTAATCACATGTTGCATTTCGTTCAAGTTTCTTGTAAAAATGAAAAATTCCCAATGATTTGATAATATTGTGCTCTATTGTATTAAGTTTTTATTTGGTACAAATTGGCAATCATCCTGTAGGTAACGGATTTTTTTGTCATGTAAAATAAAAAAAAAAAGATAATTTTTCAAAAAATATTTTATTATTAATTTTCAAATAAATAAATTGATTGATTTTCTTATATTTAAAGGTTTTTTTTAATATTGACACTAATATTTTGTTGTCTTAATGCACATTATTTCAATATATAATGTTTCGTTTTATATAATACGTAATATATTTTATATATTATTTATAAATTATTTATGTTTTATAAGTGTATAGAATAAGTATAGTATTTTGAAATAATTCAACATAGATTAACAATACATGTGGTGTTATTCATTTATGCATCTAAAAGTGTCTTAACATCATTAGTTTTTGCTGGAGAACTATGCCACAATGATTTTGATACGGATAACACACCAAGTGAATATGTTGAGCCTGGTTGAAGCCCCGTTAGCTGTAAAACAAAATGCACATATATATTTTTTCTGTGCAACACATTTGTGATTAAATTGAATAATAATAATAATAAAAACACACTCACACTCTATTATTAAAAACTAACAACTTTGTACCTACAAAATATTATGCCTATCGTGTTAACCTTTTTTTATTAGCCACGCCTAAGTAGGAATGGGAATAGAAATGTTATTAGTTAGACAAAAAAAAAAAATGTTCACATTATACATAATATTTGTAAAACGAAACACGAGCAGAGCTTAATATTATTTTTTTTAGACTAAAAAAAACTGTTTCGTTATAATATTTATTCATTATTGACACCTGTTTTTGGCCAACTGCATAATATTAGTTATTGCTAGAATACAGAATACAGCAATACTATTATACTGTGCGTACCTATAATATTAATATAGTAACTAAACGTTTACTGATTTTGTACTAACTGATAAAAATAGGTCACATTATCTACTTAACTATTTATTATAATTATTTAATTGTGTATGATTATCTTCTAACTGCTCGAAAGATAGCGTATAATGTCATATGTATACAGCGATCAGGATTATATAGTGTGTTTGGGTCTAAACACTCTAAACAACATTTTCATACATTTTTTCAAAGAGTAGGTATCCACAACTTTTATATAGACCATTTCACTTATAATAATAATACAGTAACATAATATAATAACGTTTTCCTTTGTCAGTCTGGACTCTGGGCAGCCTGTCGGTTTAACTATTATTTTAACAAGCCTATACATTTTATTCTCTTTCGATTTTTTTATGGATAAAAACCGGAAACGGTACCTATACGTAAGCATTAATTTATTAACATTCAACAGTTCAATAACATTAACATATTGGTACTCCGCAATAAGAAACAGTTAGCTATGTACTATATCGTTTCGTCGAAGGTCGTCAGGCCTACGGTACAACTGTCGTTTTTTAGCCTATAATTCTGCATCGTTCTCTCTCGAGCATTTTTATATCGTCCATACAATTCAACCATATCAAGTTACTGTTACCTACTTCTAATCTTAATGAGTTATTCAAGAAAGCCATTTTTACTTCGATTTTCTTGTTGATATTAAACCGAATTCTACAAATATATTTCTCTTTTAGTTTAAATTTATTTTGTATTATTTGATTAGACAGCTCGATTAAGCATTAACTACGATTACAAACTATCATGTGTGTACTTACTAATAGGTAATTATTTACTGTTTATATATTATATTCACAAATCACATTGAGATTTAAAAAAATACATTTTTTTTATTAAAAAATAAAATATGGTTAAAATATTACAAGTATAAATACTACCGAGTTGTATGTTCTACCCAGTTTTTATTATTATTATTATTATTATTATTATTTGACTATATCAGATATTAATAAAGGTACCTAGTTATAAACTCTCTATAATTATGTATATATGTAATATAGTTGATACTTGATTGGTGTCAATAAAATTAATCAAGGGAACCGATTGTAAATTGCAGCAACTGTACTAACAAGTTTATCGGTTGTAGACAATGACAAAAGTTGAAAAATATGCCATATTCCTAATAACTATAATAGTAAATATTATAATCAGTAACTAATGGTAACACCAATTATAAAAACAAATATATATTCGATTTTTTTGAACCAAAACGAAATTCTTGTGTGAGCAAGTCTATAGTAGTATATCATAGGGGTTGTAGAGGCTAAGACACCTGCTGAGTCTCAAGGAAACTATTCATATAGGTAACTTTTATTGAAGTAGGTAAAGTTTTTGCTGAGATTCGCAGTCGGTAACTTACGTTCGTTATACGGTACACGTTTTTGTTCGATTGTACAAAATTATCACAGTTATACATTTTTAGAAGAGAGCGGGTTAAGATATTTACACAAAAATAATTGTTTCCAAAAATAATTTTTAGACAAATGAATCACCTGGTTGTAAGTATTAAGGATAAATCATTGCAGAAAAAATGAAAAGAACGCAACCGCGTGCTATAAATCTGTAAGTGATTAGATAATTTAACAAGGGGCTGTATAGGTAAATTATGTCTGTCAATAATTTATTTGTGTACATTTTGGAAGCCGTAAATTAAGTGCCGAAGAAAAAAAAATAGTAGGTAATTTGGGTTCTGGCTTCAAACCCACAATTTTGACTTTTAGACAACATTATTAAATATTAAAACAAAATGGGATGGAGGGACTAACCTTTTTCCGGGACTCCACTTACCTACTACTTTTTTTCTGGGCTCAACATTATTTTCTTTCAGGGAACCAATTAACCGAGAAAAGGTCTTTAGAACCCAATTTACCAATTCCGTTTAAAAAATGAGTTTATTACCGTATAGTTATAAGAAGGCACTTCTTCCTCGAATGGGATTTCTATAGGCTGAATGTTAACACAACACTGGCTTATATCCACTTTTGATATTTCTTCTATATTAATTACAAACATTTTCAATACACCGTTGAATATCCATGGAATATCCCACTGAAGAGTAATAGTTGTTTTTCCAATATCGATAATTTGTACGTTACTTGGAGGATCAGGTACTGCAAAAAAAAAAAATGACATATTATTGCGTGATATGTGAATTAGGTATACTTTAAGTGTCAACATAATTCTAACTTACACCCATCAATGTTGGTGAAAGTTATAGACGAAGATAAACCACCTTCTGGATAATCTAGTGACTTAGCCTGAACCTGCAGCACACAAGTTGTAAAATAAAAATATAATACTAGACATGCAATACATTTATTTATTTATCAGAATTTTTCTATTTTGTCATCCAATATTCTTACTTTAAACGTAGAATTTTTACTAGGACTCAAATCATAAAATGTATGACAGAAATATTCTGGCCAAGCTGAGCACTTCCTTGGTGAAACAATAGTAACATTTTTTTCGTGTGTGATATAAGAGCCATCATCAAATGATTCAAATGAAATTATAAATCCATCTAAATTTGAATCATCTGGATAATGCCAACGAAGTCCAACTACTTTATTCTTTATATTTTTTTTGTACACCGTTAAATCTTTCACTTCTCCTAAAACTATCGATGTAAAAGTTTAAAATAAGTATTAGTGGAATGATAATTTATAAGCAATTAACTTCTACTACTTTAAAAATTGTTAGAAATTGTAAATTGCCCGCAGTTGTCTCTTTAGCTAAATATATGCATAATCCTAAATAATGACTCGTATGTAAACATACAAAATATTATAATAATGTTAAAATAATTTTAAAATTGTAAAAAATAATATAGCATATTATTTTAGATTCCGAGTTGAGAGATGAATTTAATAGTCTTACAATAACATATGTGTTGGTACTTCAGGAAGTGAAAAGCAGAAAATTCTTAAGTAATAAAAATAGACATTTTTACGCAAAATCTTTTCTCTGAGAAAATTTATTTTGTTTTATTTCTTTGTAGTAATTCAAAAATGAATAGCTATCGAGACTTGAAATATTAACCAAACATTTAAATGTCATTAACTATAGTAACTAGATATGATTTAATTTTCAAAATATTTTGGGTCTTTTTGTGCCGTTAATTTGAAATTGTTGACTTTTTAAATTTTATTTCGACATATATATGATAAAGTTTTTGTTTTTTGATATAAAGATTGAAAATGTAATAAAATGTGACTCTAAAGTTTTTTATACCTCAAATAAAAAATATTAAAAATGTATACTCAACAACATTTACTGATAACATTTTAGTTCACATATTTACGAAATTCATCAAAATCAAGAATATTTTAAAATTATTTTGTAAGTAGACGTTCATATTTTTTTAATTTTAACGCCTAAAGCTTAATATAAGATTCCTCATATAAACTAAAAATTTAGAAAAAAAAGTTTAACCGTAAAGCCACACGCATTTTTTATAAGCGATTTAACATTTAATAAAATTAGATATTTAAACAGAAAATAGGTAAGGTTTTAAATTTTTTGATTAGTATTCAAAAATATCCACGGGGACTTGCAGGTTTCAAGTTTATAATTTTATTTTATTTTACTATTATATTCAATACAATTTTTTCAAAAATGTATATTAATATTTTATCTGTTGTCTATTTATATCTCTGTTCACACCGTTCTACGATAAGTCTGCAGTATTGACTCTAAAGTTCATTCAAATAATAATATACTATTATAGGTAATAGGGATAAATATATACCTACTATTATAATAATTGCTATGTTTTCGGAAAAAATTAATTCAACCAGCAATATAAATTTATGGAAAAAAATATACTTAGGTAGTAATCTTAGGCTGACAGGTTATCTCCTCTCAGAATCGTTTTTCGTTGATATGCAATTATTTATCATTGAATTTAAATGTAATCATCCATTATGATGAAAAAGATTTTAAAGATTTTTTTTAATGCTTTCTATAGGCTTATTTTGTTATAAAGTTGTTCAATATACATAGTTATAGTTTATCTTTTTTTGTAAGACTTGAGCCTGAACACAGTTATCAATATTTGAGGTATACTTCCTAATAATAAATCACAGGGAAATGAATAGTTATCAAACTATCAATATTTACAATTTAAACCTTCAATATGTCATATTAAGTCAGTTTGCATGTTATAGTGATATATAGCCATGTATAGTTGTAAAGGTATATAATATAATATGCATTACGAGAAATGAGAATAATATAAGCATTATCCTTAATGACGTCATGTGAGTTTAAGCAAATATATTAATACGTCATACAAACATTAACTTTTTATTTTACTCTTATATTGACTAAGCGTTACGTAAGATGACCATTTTTATGTAAAATACCTACATATTATAGTATATATTATGTAAGATAAACTATATTATTCGAAATGCATTATTTACTAAAATTAATTATCTATTGTTTATAATTATTGTTTATTAATACAAACAAGTGACGAATGAAACTTATAAATAATAATTACATTTCAAATTATTTTCTGATAAATTCATTTAAAAAACCTTTTATTGCACCTGTTGATTGTGGGTTAGCTACTTCTATGTTTGGGTTATTCACATTACTGGTAATATATATACGTAAGTATATATGTATATATAAATATAGATATATACGTAAGTATATATGTATATATAAATATAGATACATACAAAATAATGTATATAACGATTTAACGAGAAATGCACTCCAAAACAACTCAACCAATTTTAATAAGATTATGCTCAATGTTTGTGATTTTGTCCAACTTAAATATAGGATAGTTGTTACCTCGATAAGTGGCCCTTAAGTTTTTTATTGAACTTATAAGAAAGGAACTTAAGATTTACGATGGAAATTTTTGTTTATAAATGGTTGCTATTGGTTATAGCTTACAGATTATATACTATAATAGTAATTGGAAACATTATTGTTTGCCGTCATTGTCTACTCGAGCAGATAAGGTAGATGATACTAAATCGTCAAGTTTATGGTTTCGAATAAACAAATTTAAAAAAAAAACAAAAATGATAGTTGAATGAATGTGTGTAGCTTATATAGGTACTCAAAAACTATCAAACCGATTTTGTAAAAATTTCAAATCGTTCTTGGAGATATTAAAAAAATATAGAGAGTATAATTTGAACAACGTACGATTTATTTATCAAGTGCTATCTTCAATCCAATTGTATTTTTAACAGACAACTAAGTGCAAAGGATCAACTTATATATATATCAATTTTACTTAGTACTTACTCCCAAATCTAGTCGTGAAATTGGTGAATAGAAAATATTCAGGACTATACCCCATGTGTGTTTTTATAAATGCTTTTAATTCATACGTAGTGTTCGGTTTGAGGTTTTCAAACAAAATATTATTTCGTTTCGTTTCTTTCACTTGTAATTTGTTATTATTCTTCTCCTATAAAAAAAAATGTATTAAATTTACAAAATAATTAACTCTGCTTTATACGTGATTATTATATTACATTGATACCTTTAATTCCACGAAGTATTTAGAAAAAAAACCATTCAGTTTAGAGCAGTTACTAAAATCAAATTTCCATTGAACAAATACGGAACTATTTGTTATGTATAGTGGGTTCTCGAGATCAATGACCGGGGCTATTGTCGGCTCTAAATTTAATCATTTAATAAAAGTAGAAATCATTTCAAAAAGACACAAGTTTCTTAATTTTAAGTTTGAAATAATTCTTACTTGACGTCGGCGTTAATGTGTATATCGTTTGACTGTTGTCGCCGGTCAGAACTTGTATTAAGTATTGTGAATTAGGCACAACGTCTAATATTTCGTAGTTAGTTTGATTAGAAATTATAACCGACGTCCAACCGTTTTCCAATTCCTTCAAAGAACAGCTGAGAATTCTGTTAATCTAAAATATCGTAAATTCATCTTTATTGTATCTATTAATATACCTATGTAATACGTCTATAATCCACCCGATTTAATTTTTTTTCAAGTCTAGGTAATATAAGGAAATACATATGATATAATATAAATTATATTAGGTTAGGACGGTTAGGTTGACATTTGTGTTATGAATTTATGATTCGATTATTTAAGAAAGTTTATCACGAGAAGTATAAAATAAATAATTACTTTGTATTTTAAAGTGCACGTGACTGGTTCATTTACCACAGATTTTACCGTAACATTATAACGTTCATACATGTATCCTAATTTCCAGGATACTTTGATCTTTCCATTTTCACTGACTGTGAAAATATCTTTCACTTTGAATTCAATTCCTTCATCAAGTATGGCATAAGAATTATTAGTTGACACATTGACAGTCTATATGCACCTATACAGTTATATATTATAATGTATATAATATAAAATGTACCTGAAAGTGGAGTGGCTGAATAAATAGGCGATGGAAATAATTTCCCTTGAGTTGTATTTAGAATTAATTGTATGTTATACTGATAACCAGGTATAAGGTCGTAGATAAAGTGACCACTAATTGAATATGATATTATTTTCTGTACACCAGATATTTGGTTCTGTGATTGATTGTAGGACAACATCAATAAATATTCAATAACATTGCATTCTAATCGGTTAATAGTAGTATTTATCTATAATGATTTGCAAAAGGTTAGAACACCGTTAAAATATGTATCTACACAATATTTTATTTTAGACAGAAAATATCATGTAGAATATTAAATAATTTATTTAATGATTTTAATGGAAAATGATTGATTAATAATAGCAGCATTTTTAATATTACTTTGTTCCATGACACGTTGATGCTTTGTATTCCACTTTTAAGTGTTATATTAAAATCATCAATGTTTGGTGCTAAAATATGAAATTGTAAAACTTACTCAATACTATAAAAAATTGATTAACATTTTCTTAATTTTAATTTAATGGTTTGTTGAAAATACTTACGTATGCACGACGTCTTAAATTCGCCGTATACTATATCTTGATCATTAAAATTACCATCATCTGTTATAAACAGAATGCCAATTAAATATACAGTATCCGGATTTAAATCACTTAAAGTTTCATTGGTTTCATTACTATTTTCAATAATAGGTTTGATACCAGTGCTAATAAATGGCTCTTCTTTTAAAGTCTAAAAATATTGATAATAGAACACATAATTAGATTTACCATATAATTTTAGATCACTTTCGAACTTGCAGATAAGTAATGCCCGATTTTGATGGACAATGTAGGCAATACCATATAACCGTGCTGCATACAAGTCTGTCCAAACTAGCACTTTCATCATGAAACATCGGAATCAAAAATTCTATTTTCATTCTATTCATATTTATTTCTATGCGGTTTAATAGATTTAAAAACCCGGAATAGTAGAAAGGTAGAGAAATAATTCTAAGATAATAAGCACAGAGTCTGACCTCAGACCCCCATCCCCCCTAAATTGAAATACTTGTAATTTATAAATAATAATTAATACCATTTACACATATACTTTACTATATAAATAGGAATGTGGATACAAAGAATGTATTTATACTATATAGACTATAGAATGAATACAATATTATTTTGTAAATAAAAAAAAACTATGGTAGGTATTTAAAGAAACTGGAAATTAAGTTAAAAATGTAAATATTATGATTTTAAGAACCAATATAAAGCATTTTTAAATGCTGAACAAATTATTATTTTGGCTACATATAAGTAATAATGTAATATATTATCTTTATTCTGTATTCTTCAATATATTACATCAACTTGTCACCTGGTAATCGGTAGGTAAAATATATTATAAATTATAATTTATAATAATATTGTATGTTATTCGTAGGTATATGCGTTCAATCTAATATTAAATATGATTGATGAGTATTCAGTAAATAAGCTTATTGAAATTAAATAAATACTTTTAATAAACGTTTTTTCAAAATATCTTACCTTATAAACTATTTGATAATATTTCAACTTAATACTTTTATCTTCTCCCATTACATTAGAAGATTGGAAATCACATTGTACTTCTATTGACTCGTATTCGCTTGATACCAGTTTAGGTGGATTTATGAGGTAAGGATATTCTAAATATGAAAAGATATTAGTCCACTGTTTACCATCATTAAAATCTAAAGCCTTATTTCTTAGGTCATAATTTTGTAATCATAATTTTTAAACTCTTTGTTCCTCGAATTGATTACGATTTTAAGGTAAATTATAATAAAGCCAATAATAGTTTTATTTTTTATTTTTTATATTTTTTATTTAAAATGATATAATGTAATGTGTTCTGTGACGATATACTTTTATAAGCAGTTATTTACGGATCACAATTATTCATAATAATACTATTGTTATTTATGTAGCATACAGTATACAGAGTAGGGAAGTTTAACTTATTTTAATGGCCTAGTAACTCTGCTATCCCAACCAATAAATAATATTTAATTTTCGAAGTCTATAAATACCTATTATACATATTGCAGGATAAACTTTTAATTTAAATCCAATTTTATAGAAAGAATAATAGAATGTTATATTACATTAAATGTTCACTAAAATTAGGTTTTCTTATTATCTTACTTTGTAAACAACGGGGAAGTACATATCGTGGTAAACACCCGTGTGAACAGACGCCCGTGTATCGATCACACTTTCCGTTGTAACAATTCGGCGAACAATTTTGATTGCAATTAGCGCCAAATGTACCTGCTTCGCAGTCTAAAAAAAAAATTAAAATAATTACAAAAACAGTTATTTATAAGTGTTATAACCTTATAAGTTATAGCATGATATTTAAGCAGTTCCAAAAAACTTTTAAATACTATGACAAATCAAAGATTTGTTTATTTAATTTGCCTACCTTTATTACACAACAGGCCCGTCAAACCCGGCGGACAAGTACATCCAAATTTCGTACACATGTACATACCACGACACATTTCTGCTGAGTGCATAGAACAAACGCCTTTACAATCGGATCCGTACGAATTCGGTCCACATGCTGAAATACAAGTGTGTTATTTACGTCCATTCCGACAATAAAGCAATTCGATTATTTATTCTGTATGTAGTAGCTAATCATGTACCTACGTATGATGTCAGAGTTTAATGTTAATTTGGTGTTCTATATTTTTATCCTAAGTATATATTAATACTCACTTAGAACGCAGGAATTATTTGACTTAATTCTTAAGTTCGGTTAATATTAATAATATTACATAAATTATGTTTACTTGATTCGAATACTATAGTAGGTAGTTGAATTACCTGTTTCACATAGATTTCCAATAAATCCAGGAGGGCAAATACAATTATTCATTGGTGGTACACTGTATCCGCCATTTAAACATTCCGATGTCTGGTTACTTTTGATTACATTATATGCTATGTATTAAAACAATGAACAATATATTTTATTTTATAATTTATATGTTGTGTATAACTGCTATATACTTATGAGTTATAAGATAGGTATATGAATACCAACTCAAGAGATTCAACACAAATTGATTCACAGTGATTATACATAAGCCGATGATTAATTATTCAATTACATTACTACTGCAATTTATTACCTTTGTGATCAATTGCTCACAATCATCTATATGCATGTTCTGTTAAATATCGTTACAAATACTATGTGCCTATTCTGAATTTTTTATATTAAAATATTAAGGAGATCGCTCAATAACAGTCGTTATAAGTTATTAAGTAATGCTTAGACAGGTACCTTTTTTTAATATAATTGTTAAAGAAATAATTACAATTTATACTTATGAGATCAAAGAACTTCTTAGCTAATACATTGTGTGACAAATTACAAAATAAAAATTCAACAAATAATAAGAAATACATTTTTATGAAAATGTTTATTTCTTATGACTTTTGGTATTAATTTCCAATAAACAATAGGAAGTTGTAATTATTAATAATTTAATATTTTCCTAGGAAAATGTTAATGTGTACATATTAATGACTAATGAGTATAATACTAATACTACATTAGTTTTAAATTATTGAACTGCAATTTGCATTCTAGGCAGATACATATTACCTAGGTCAATAGTCTCACGTGAAACTAGAAATTAGTTTTTTATGTTATTTGTGTATATAGGTGGTACCCACTTTTATAGTTTCCAAGAATGTTGAATGATTTTGTTTCGCCTTCAAAATCATTTACAATTCGAACATCTTCTTCATCTATAAAACAATAATGAAAACTTTTAAGTAGATTCATAAGTGATATATTTTTAGCACTTACTAAAAAATATTTATAATGCAATACATTGTGTAGATAATAAATTCTTTATAGTATGTATTACGATCATAATCGCACGATCGTACAATCGGAAATTATTTATGTTACATAATTAATGCATTAAACTAGCTTATGGCAATATTATAATATGAATCAATCATCAAATAAAAATATTTTATACCTACACATTTATAACACTAACGATTACATTTCTCCAAATATGAAATAAATATTGAACACATTCAAAGTATGTGTAAGTTACAACTCACAATAAGAAATTTCCAAAACCCATTTATTTGAACTAACTTTATATGATGTGTTATAATTAATAAATTAATCTAAATTTAAGACCCTATAAATTCATGATGGTAATTATAATCAAATTATCCGGTTTGAAGCATTTTTAGATTTATTTTTGAACATTTATTAAAACGAATTTGAATTTTTATATATTTTTAATAATTTTAGGTCATTGATTTCGAGCTCTAGTAAAGATTATATTAATATGAACATTTTTAGAAATAATATCATATCGATTCATATGATTCGTTTTTAATCTTCACATTTTCGTAATAAACTTGAAACTCGTCATAATATATTAAATGTTAAAACATAATATAAATGAGTACCATAATTTGAAGATTCAGCAATCCGTATGAGTCCAAACCAAAATCCACTATACCCATAATTATAGCGTCCTCGGTAGTAATAATCACTATTCATTTTCATTTTTAGCGATAACATATATTCTTGATTTTTCGTGAAACGAATATCATTAAATATTACCGTCTTAACATCATCCTATAGAATAGATTTTTATAATATATAACAATTATTACATAATATAATGTATTAATTACTCAAGTAATCTAATAGATAAAACAGTTAAATGTATAATATTAAACTCACAAATTTCAATAGTTTGGTGAAACTTATTAATGTACTATTTGCATGGGCTATATTCAAGAATATTTCCATTTTGGACGACGGTGTGTGTATGTATGTGATTGATATACCCGCTCGGTCGTGATTGGCCGTCCAAAGTACCGAAAATATTGTATTAAAATCATTAGTTCTATGCACAGGTATAGTGTCAATTTCATATCTGTATTCAGAAACATTGACACATTGATATTTATCTAAAAATAAAAAATAAACATTAATAATACAATATCCTTTTTTGAAGTGTAACATCACATGTACTTTACATCAAAAATTTAAAAAAAAGTTGAATGATTTATTTTCCAAAGTTAATATTAAAAGTATATAATAATTAAGCAAGTATAGTTTCCATTTTTTTGTAACAAGCACGAAATTCAAGTTCAATAATGTTCAGTAGATATCAAAATATTGTTAATTTTTAGGACGATTTTTTATTTATATATAACATTAATTATGTTGTATTATTCTGACTAAATATAATTATGGACTTAATTCTACAGACTAAAATTACCTTCGTAAAAGTAGTGTTCATTACTACTACAGCCATCTATTGACGTTCCTATAATAATAGATAAAATTAAAGTTAGGTAGGTACTCATGTAATAGTATTAAAATATACCTATAGGTATAAGAATTAAAAGTATAAAATTCATTTTCAATATCTTACCATTTACACCAGTTAATGGAATATATTTTAATTTCCAAGATTTAGGTACATAATCAACCTTTATACGACTATTGTTCGGAGATATTCCAAATTTGAAGAACACTGATTTATTAATTAATACAATTGACTGATTCGACAATGTCTTTTGTGGAGACTTTACTTCTGCAGTAATTGGTAATCCGATGGCATTTGTTCTTGAATGTATTTCAATTGAATAGCTATATTTTGAATGCATCTTACAAAAACCAGAGTCGTTGAATCCAACTAATATAGAAAATTATGTAGAATCATAGTAGTGTTTAACATAATAATGTATTAGTAAAAAAACAATAATAGATTTTAAACAATTTTCAATTTTATTTAGAGGTGAGGGAGTAAAGGCGTGTGTTAATGTAAAATTGAAAAGAATAATCTTTAAGTCTCTATAAAATGTTAAACTAAAAATAAATTAATGATTGCCATGATTTAGTTAAATCACCCTTATGTATAATAAGATTTAAAAATTTAAAATAATACTTTGAAGCGATTTTATGAACGTCACAATTCAAAATTTTATAATTTACTTTATCAAAATCGTGATTATAATATTTTATTCTTCGAAATATACATATACAATATACATATATAAATATATTTTTAAATTAAAAAAGTGAAAACTAAAATCGTGAAAGTAACAATATCAAAGTAATAAAAGCCTAATCCAAAGCAAATATAATTTACAGTTGAAAAAAAATCGAAATTCGAGTACATCGGCGATAATAAAAGTTCACAATTTATTACGTATGAAATAGTTCGTTGGAAAGTATAGATTGGTAGTATAAACAATATGTAATAAAAGTAATGTGTGATAAAATTATAAATATACATATTTTTGTATCATCAATATTTTGTTTTCGTTCAAGTATAAGTTCAAGATAATAGATATGAATATAATTAATTTCCCAGGGGAAGAGGCGGAACACTTTAACACCTACCCGGTCATACTCTCATAAACACGAAATTCATTAATTTAAGAACATATTGTATTAGTGAAAACTTATTAGTAATAAGTGTATATACATTATACATATAACCATAAATATATTCTTAGAAACTTTCGATAATAATTGAGGTTTGATCAATCAATCATTCTACAGTTAAATAGCATACTATAATACACTTTGTCATGCATTCGTAAGAATTATTTTCAATATTAAAATAATATTAAAACCTAAAAAACCATAGTCAATATCTATTTTTATTTTTTACCTATTTTTTGTTGTTGTGGTAAACGATGCATAAGTACAATAATGTTAATCAGAAATTAAAAATTCGTAAAAAATAAAATATTTGTACTCATATATGACAGTTTTAATGTATTTGTTGTTGACATGGTAGTTATTTCAATACCCTAAAACTGTATAGGTTACCTAAACCGTAAACCTAAAACAATTATAGACTTTACTAGATATGACGTAATTTTCAAAAAATGTTAGCTCTTTTTGTGCTAGAAATGTGTAAATGCAAAATTCATTAGAACTTATTATCATCGATGTATTTCGCTTTTTTTCACTTATCTGCTTTAAACTATACTTGCTTTGGATTTTTATTATAATGCAATCGAATGATATTATACAATAGCATAGTGTCGATAGTGTATATGCATCACATAATAAACTAGACACAATTGCATGTTGGGAATATTGACAAATTATTTGTGTACGATTCAATTGCGTCTACAATAAAGTATAATATTTATTACTATTATAATAGTAATATGTTCTTGGGCACAGTAATTAGTAATTAGTAATTAACATTATAACAATTTACCATATAAACATAGAATATAACACGAGTCGTAGTAGTAGTAGTAGTGGGCATAAAAACCCACTCCAATGATGATTTACTCAAAAATTAGTATAACATGACTTGACTGAACTTTGTAAAAAATTGCCTATCCAATACTCCTTAAAAAAAATTCTATTCGCAAATGAGATTAAATCACATTCAATAGTTACACTATACAGTTCCTTTTATTTCTGCTATCGAGATTAGTGATAAAAATATTATACCTATGGACAAAACAAAATATTTAAGCATCTCGAGTGTGATTAACTTTTTAACTTTCACATCCCGTATCTACCTATTATCTAGTACCTATGTGTTTGCTCATTTAACCTTTTTAAAAAACAATTATAATTCATAATCTATAATTTAAAGATCAAAACTCAAATATTCTATGTCTAAATAAGAACAATGAGCATTCGAGCAAACGAAAAATATTCATAATATTTTCAGTAGAGACAAAATAAAACAAATATATAAATATTTATACATTCAAATTTTTGAATAAATTATCATATTACTTCTATTTTGAATTTTAATTTACAAGTTTTTAGAAAAAAATAAGTATTTAATAATAATAATAATTTTTAACATACTTTGCGAGGGTCTGGTAAACACATTCACCATTCTGTAAATTGTAGTAACGTCATAATCTTTATGAATCGCTGAAATAAGAATTAAATAATGATACAAAGCAAACTTCTTATATTATGTATTTATACATAAACCTATGTAATTATTTCTAGATTTACATTAAATATAACTAATCTTTAGGGCTCTTGAGTTTCTCGAAAAGTATTATAATTAACTAGAAACATTTTATAATAATGTTTCATCATTTTTTTTTTTTTTTTTGAAAAACTAAGATTTTAAATAGGCTCATACAAATATTTAGTTTTCCAATAAGGAGAAAACATATGACTCACAAATACAGTAATATAGTTTGAAAGACATAAATTTAAAAAAATGCTTGCTAAAATATCATTAATATTTGTGGAAAGTTGACTTCTCTATACAAAGTGTTTCATTAAGCTTCTATGCAGTAGCACACTCATCATCTCAATAGTTTTATTTTTTTATAAGATGTTATTTTCACATAATTCGATTTCTAGTAAAGGTAAGAAAAAAGTTATTTCAGTGGTTAGAAATTAGCTTAAGAATATACTGCCTATGCGGCTATGCGTCGTATCCGCATGTGTTGCGTCCGTCTTATAAATGTACGACGTGTAAATTTTCGTTTACTTATTTTCATAGTGTGCTTTAAGTTTTGATATTAGAGTGAATTGACCTATTATTAAACTTTTAGGTAAGAACATTATCTGTGCTCAAGTGTTAACTATTTTTTTATACTTTAATTTTCAAGCAAGATATAGGCATGATAAATATCACAAATTAAAAATTTCGCATATCTTGCTTGAAAAATCAAATATCGATTAAAAGCACAAATAATGTTTTTATGCCTAAAAATGTGATTATAGGTCAATTCATTCTTTTATCAAAACTAACAGCACACTATTGAAACTAGTGAACTAACATTTTCTATGTCAAACGTGTGTAAGACGAAGACAACAAAGCATGGGTAGCATCTACTTAAAATTAAATCAAAAAATAAACACTACTATTATAAACAATAATATAGACTCAATCTCTAATAAATAAATAGGTCTTTATAAAAATATTGGAACTATTAAAATACCCAAAAATCCCGAGTATTAAGAATATTTTGTTAAAATATAAATAAAATAATACAATTTACAGATAATAGAGATAATGTTATAAACAAAATATCATCTTAAAGTTTATAGGCATATTTATGTTCATAATAAATTGGTACCTATGTAACATATGCAATTTAAAATGTATAAAATTAATATCTATTCACATTTTGTATCATAATTTAATAGTATTAAAAACATTTTTAGGTCAGTTAGTAAGTTGGAAATTTAAAAAAATATGTATAGTGCTATACTTTGATCACAAATACTTACTGCTGTTGTTGGAATGAGATGTAGTTTCACTCCAAACGTTCGGAATAAATATTGCCGAAAACCAAATATAATAATATACTAGAAGTATAATTTCAACATTTTTTTTATAAATCATATTATTAATTTGAGACTATAGTACTGTTCACTTGAAAAATGATTCTGTAATTCGAAGACAAAAATATAAACTGAATGATTCGACACAAATTAAGCGACTAACTGTAAATTAATTATTAATTATAAGAAACACCCACAAACAATAGTATAAGCGTATATAAATATTATTATCGGACAATTTTTTATTTGTGTATGAGTGCATAAAGGTGGAATTATACATCTTATAAAACCGATTCCATTATATTATAATTATTTGCTATACGTAGTCGTCTAATATTATAATGTACAGTGTGAAGCACAGTGTGTTTGTCCATTTTACAATACTACCTCGATGGGAATATGATAATTCTACACACCGATCCGCCCTGTATCAATTAGGTACAGTTTCAATATTGACACTAATAATTTTATTTTATTAATACGGTATTTCATATTTCTACGTGTTTACGTTACAAACAGAACATATAGTTATTATCATAATATTTTAATCATTTGAGTAGGATGTAAACTGTATAGTTATAATATTCTATGTACATAATGTAGTCATCATAATATAGGTAATGTGCGAATAGTGATTGAAACACATCTGATGCCAAAATCTCTCCGACTATTATTTTTACGTGGACCTGCAGTAAAGTACATTTACCTAGCACGCATAGAGCAACTTAAGAATTTATAGTTTAAACCGATAAAAAATCTGTGTTCAATCATTATTTAATCGTATTCTGGCAAAGTTCATTAGTTATATTTGTGTACATGCCCATTATACCTAATATAAATAGTTGTTTTTTATTTGCCTTGGATTTAAAAATATACCAGTATCAAAAGTCAAAAGTCAATGATACGATATAATTAATTAATTATTCTACGGCACTGAAGGTGATGCATATAACGTAAAAAAAATCACAAAATAATTTACGTTCATATTATTTATATAATAATATGGTACCTTGCTAATACACGATCACAGACATAGTCTTGAATACTTCAATTTAGCAAATAATGTTCATTATTATTGCATTGCATTTAGCATAATTTATAGGCGGTAGGTATTTCTAACTTCAGAAGCTGAACTGGAGCTACTTATTAAAAGTGAGAACTGATGAATATAGTCATATTTATAGGTAACTCAAAAATGGCATATTATAATGTGATGGAATGAATGATATGGACGCATATATTTTATGCAATTTGTTGAAAATGCCAATGAACTTTTTATGATAAAAACCATTTTTACTGTATACAGTTTGTCAATCACAAAAACGAACATATTCGGCAACAACAATTAGACATAATATTATTTAAAACATTAAACTCAACCCTAATTAATCGAAAATGTACGATTAATCTTTTAATGATTATTTTTTCTTATTTCGTTATGATTTAAAAAATATTGATCGTTGAAACTTGATATATTTACAAAATCATCATATTCTACGAATATTATCTATTCTTCTATTCTATTCTCGTACACTCAATTATAAATTAAAATATATTTAGGATAATATCAGAATAGTTGTGAGCTATTTAAAGTCATTTTAAATTTTTGACTTTTTGTTAAAGTGTTGATCAAAATGTTTAGATTCAGTAAAAAAAACTTAAATATTTAATACAAGATATACATATTTTTATTTATAATAAATTAAATATATTTAAAACACATGGTTCAAAAAGTTGAGGTTTTTTAATAATTGTTAATTATTTGAAGTAAGTACTAAAATTTTAATCAAAGTCATCATAAACACGAAAATCTGCAAATTATTAAATATTTACAAAATAATTAAATTATCAATTTCAATACTAGAATATTATTTAAAGTATATAATATGATTATATACTTCGAATAAATAATTTCATCTTAAAAAAATATGAAATGACATGTATGTTTCTAGTTTATATAGAGTAATTTGGAAATTTCAAATTGTTCTTGGTGAAATCAGGAAAGTACCTACAGAAGTAGTTGAACCATGTCCGATTTATATCAACTGCTATTTATATACTAAGTGAGTTTTCCATCTGGGTCGAATTTATACGGCATATACATTTTTTTTTGCAAATATATGTATTAAAAATACAAATCTCTGGTCGGACAACGTTGGACAGAATAGCTTTAATAAAATGAGCTACTCGGGCAGATGAGGTAAAAGCATGCATCAAATCCTTACGTTTATAGTTTCAAATAAAGAAATTACATCTCTCAAATATGAGAGTTTATTGTATATTTGTAGCTTATATACGTTCTCAAAAACTATTTAACCGATTTTGTGAAAATTTCGAATTTTTTTTTCGAGATTTCATTAAAGTTTAAAGAGTAGTTTGAACCATGTTCAATTTATACCAAGTGCTATATCCAATCCGTCAAAAGCAAATTGTTTATCTTGGTCTAATTAGTTCGCAAAACGATGTACATTTACTCGAATTTGCCTGTGAACTAAGATGCTACACCAAAACTATCAGCCGGTATTTTGTATTTTTTAATTTTTTCACTGGCAAAGTCGGGTTATACAACTAAAATTTCATACAGGTTCACCCGAAGTTAATATAGCCTCAAAAAACGACTGGGACGTTTTGAATAAAAGTTATATCAATCAACTTGGATAGTGTTTTATAGCTTATTTTTTCGACTTTTATAAGTAGCTAAAGGTTAGCTCTGTAGCTCATTTATGATTTTTTCAGTTTACATACAAATAAATTTTTTTTATGGCATATACGTCATTTGTTTACAAATATATTTATAAAAAATACAAATCGTTGGCCTGGACAGCTAACATTATTATATTTTTCTATGTAATTGATGACATTTTCAAAATATTCAGATTAATTTTAAGCTATTTTCTATTTATTACACAATTACACTACCACAAATACAAATAATAATTAATAATAAATGTGATTTTATTAGCAAAAACTAAACCTTCCATATATATTCCTCATAGTAAATAAATCTATACATAAAGTAATATAGTATAATATATTTATATCATGAACTTATTATAAGGTAAGTCGGTATTGACTCGTAAGTTAGTAAAATCATTATATAATTTAAAAATAAACTATTAGAATAATAAATTAGATAATAATATAAGTAAAAATTGTGATATTTTTCGAAAAATGTAGTTCAAACTATCATAATATTAATTGAAATGTAGTTAAAGAAATTAGCAATGGCAATATGAAAATTTAAAATATACAATAACAGTATATATTGTCTGACAGACTGTCTCCAATCAGGATTGTTTTTTGTATCCATGAGCACATCGATTACAATTACCTACTCAATGACGAGGAAGGAACACTCCACACCTACTATAAACGAAAGTAGCTTAATTATTTAATATGAATTTTTTGATTTCAATTTTTTAAAAAAGGGAAATTTGATATCTATAGTAGAATTTATGACAGATACAATGTTTTTAGAATTCTTAACGCTTCATTAGATCAATAATCGGTACATAGGGGCTACGGACTATAACATATCCATCAATTCCTACAATGCCCATGTTTTAGCCAAAGTTCTGTGTTTCACTTGTTTATAACTGCTTACAAAGTGCTTAAAACTAATAGACCGCTTAAAGGTTAACACTTATCACAGCATATTAACGGATTATAAGAGTATATAGATAATAGTTTTAATATTGAATAATTGGTTCGTATTAATTATAGATTATTAAATGTTGGTAATATTTTATAAAGGACCAATATTAATTATACTGTATAATATGCTAAAGTTGATCATTATTAGTGATAAACCGGTCAAACATTACATTTGTGAATATACAACAATAATTATAAAGTTTCGAACACTGTGGTGCCAATATATACATTATATATATATACAATATATACATGGTGGTTTTAAATAAACTCTAAAAAATATTAAATAAATGTGTTAAAAAAAAACTAAGTGTTGGTGAAGGCGATTGCCACATTCCCCCAGCTCTCTGACACACACGAACACACACACACACACACACACACACACACACACACACACACACACACACACACACGAATCTGCATAACAAATACTTTCTACGTTCACTAGGAATTTATAAAACAATATTCAAAATGTTTTTATTTTCATGCGATAAGAATAAAGATTGTTTACAGTGTACTTTATAACAAACCTATTTTACCATATTCATTACATCTATTTAATTGGAGAGAAATAAAACACTGTTCAAGACTCCTATAACGAAATTAATGTATAAATCTGGTTTTTATAATATTTATTAGGTGGGTATAGCCGAATAGGTATAATATGTTAAATTTGTATGGCTGTATAAATATGAAATAAAATGTATAATAATGGATTCGAATCTCTTCACCCGAAATTAAATTTAATGTCTCAACATCTGTAAATACTTTTAAACACTCAACGGTGCAACGTATAGTTGCGCGTGCGCGTGCGGGAATGTGTGCATTGGAATGTGGGAGACTGCGTTTCATAATACTATTATATATATTATGTTATAAATTATAAACACACCTGCAGGATAAGATTTAAAGAGTTTCGATTGGTCGTTACAGCCTACAAAAATATGCACCGTGTTTATGGTAGTGACCTTGCACAGACGGTCCTCGTCGATGTCGACGGCAGAGAGTGAGCACTATTATACTGCGCTGTGGGGGAGATTATAATTATTTTGTGTATACGAATACAGAGGGGTCCATTTACAAAACAAAAAAAATACTTGTAATGGATTTCTCTTAAATCACATAAATTTATAAAAAAAAATGTACAAATTTGTACCGACAAATCGATTACAAAGATTGAAAAAAACATAAGTTTTAATTAAGAATGCTATATAGTATCATGAAATCAATCAATAGTTGAATAAAATCATATTGTATGCTATGCTAAATCATAAATAAATTATTTGCATGGAGCGAGCCGAGGGTAAAAAGAAATGACTCAAAATCACAAATTATCAGGAAACTTTAAAAAAACATCTAATTTACTCCTATGTAAAACTAAAACATGTTCTACGCCTTTACGGCAAAGTGTTATAACGAAAATTAACCCAAAATTTAATTTTTTTAATTTTATTTCGAAATTCAAATAAAAACTCGTAAATACGTAATAGACTAATAATAGTAAATAAATCGTTGT